AAGACAGTTGAGGAATTCTAAATCTTCTGAAAGTTTTGTTAAAGTCCTTTTTTTTTACCATACCCTATTGAGAAACTTTTAACTGGATACTTCCTTCTTGTGCATCACTCCAAACCTGTTAGATAAAGCTGCTTCTAATGCTTCTTAGTAATTAAAGCTCCCAGCATGAAAGTTACTTAACATTGTCAAAGCTGGTCTATTCAAACGGGCAGAAAGACAAATAGCATGTTGTTAATTGTTCCACCTGTTCACTCTGGAAATTAATTTGAACTGAACTTGGTATGTGTCCAATGGTATATATCTAACATAATTGATTGTATTTTGTTTTTGTTTTTAAATTGGGTGATGTTGAATTGGCTAACTAAATTACAAAAATTGGATTCAGTCTTGACATAGCTGGAGTAGTCCAGAAAGATCTTGCAGTTACAGATGGCACAGCAGTAGTAGTAATAAGTGTAGACCAAATAGATTCTCCTATTACATATTTGGTAGTATGTGGTGTTTCAAGTTGGAACTCTTGGGCTAATACAGAAAGAGGTGTGGCTGGTTTAATCTTTGCCTTTGATAATTTTTTTGAAGATGTTTCATTATATCATTGATGTTCATTCCTACCAAATAATGCTCTGATCTTTACCTCATTTATGTATTTTTGTGCTTTACTTTTGACTTCAGCAATGTTTTTTGTATTTCTTCAAATTTGTTTAGTAATCTTGCTGTAATTCCCTGTAAAGTCATTGATCTTGCCTTCAATTAGAGTTCTTTATACTTTTCATTCTACTTTAAATAGTACTTCTCTTTTATTTAACTTCTCCCTTAAGTTTCTGTGATATTCTTTTAATTTCTGTCTTTTTCTTTTAATTTTTTTAATCTTTTTTCTTTCTTCTTGGTCTTCTTTTAATTTGTTTGTAAATTTCACATTGATTTCTTTTTAATTTTCTACCTCACCCTTCTTGCTCTTCTTTAAGTTTTGTGCCTAGTATTTCTAGCTCTCTGTCTTGTTCTTCCTGACCCTCTTTTAATAATTTCATCATCTTGAGTAATGCTTTACTCTCACTCTTTGATCTCATAGAGGTACCAAGGTTGGTACAGTTATCTGTATTCAAGGCTAGAAAAGTTCAGCTTTCAGAGAGGTTTGAGGGACTTTGCTGGCACTGTAACAAACCGGGGCACAAGAGAGCTCAATGCCGACAACTTCAACACAAGGAAGATGCCATGACAGCAAAGGCTGCTACAAAGAAAGGTTGTTGGAACTGTGGAGTGCAAGGACATATGAGGAGCCAGTGTAAGAAGAATACTACCGATAAGTCAGCTTCGGGAAATCAGTAGTGGTTGGTGCTGAGGGACGTCCACCAAACCCCATTGTGAAAGTCCCAACAGCTAAGTGTAAAATGGCAAGTACACATTGTGTCTACGTGACAGGAAAGCTGGATGGCCAAAAGTACAACTCTGTCATAGATTCTGCATCTCAGCAAACCCTTGTGAGTATCAAGGTGTTAGATCACAAAGTATTCATTCCATTTTAATTTGCAGAAATTTCAGTATGGACGTGGAAAATAACTGATCGCCAATTTATAAATAGTTTTCTAGTTATTGCGCTGTACATGAAGAGCAAAGATGAAATCAGCTTTAAGAAATTTTGGACACTTACCAAACCTTCTTGGATCACGTCTCTCTCTCTCTCGTGTATTTGCGATGATATAAAAATCTTTAGTCCTTATCAATAGTCTGAATATACATGGAAGAAATACATAATATCAGCATTAAGTAGTTTTAACCACTCCAAGACCATTTTGCATCATGCTCTATACTAGAAGAAGCAGGGCGTTTTTTTAGATGGTATGCACAAGTATGGTGTACCAGTGCCATTTTTCTTATTGCAAAATGGAGATAAAGGTGACAAAACTTGAAAGATTAATGTAAATAAATGTATGAATGTTCCCCTTTGGACAAATCTTTTGTTCACAAGAAGACCAAAGACACACCGAACTAGAAGGGTTATAAATGACAAAGCTTAATTAAAGGAGTGTGAAAACACACCGTTTGTTTGATAATCAGTGTAGTATGTGGTGTGAAGCAACAGGTAGGATTAGCGTGCCATTAAATATGGTCACCTGGTTTTAACACTACAAGACCTAGACACTATCAGTTGATGTACGGTAGTGGCCTCATTTTGATAGACAGGTTTCAATTGGGCAGCAGCAGGTGAGAGTTGGCCTGGGTGGCGCAATACTGAGTTGAAAGAAACCACTTGGAACTGGGAAACAGGTGACCACAAGACGAGTTGACTGGTATGCGGGTCTGAACTGTACATTCGTTCAAATAAAATAACTCACAAAGTGGACGAAGACGATTGACGTCATTAATCGCACAGCACCTTCTCAGCCAAGAT